TAGGTGCTCTAACCCAGGCCATGGCAACGAAGAACCCAATGATTGATTCGTGGTGCTTCCAGAATTTTTGAAACTTGGGGGGCTAAGGGGTGTATGGCCAATATGGACCTGGATGACAATGTCATAGCTTCGTGAGTACTGGCACCTAAGTATTGCGTCTAAAGACCCCTATTCAAAACAAACCTCGAAATTTTGGATGAGTGAAGCAGGGCTACCGCAAAAAAACTGATTGGTGTGTCAACACAGGAAACGTAATCTAAAATTTATTGAATGAGATGTTGACAATGAGCTCAAGCACTGGCCCGTCAGGTCATTGCAACACCTGCATCGGCCACACGTCCAACCCCGGCAAAAAGAGAGAGAGAGAGAGAGACAGACCGACAAACAGACAAACAAACAAACAGAGAGGTAGAGATGGCTCAAGCTCTTGGCTCAAGCTCGGCGTGTGCTGTGCTGATCTTGGTGCGACGAACTGTACAGGACGCGGAGCCAAAGATCATAGTGAACAAACAGCTGCATGCTTTTCGCAAATTGTTTCAAGCTTGGCCAAACGGCCACAGTAGCGCGTCATTGGCGGGCCTATCGCGATCTTGCAAGCGTACTTCAAGGACATGGGCTGGCACTGTCGAGACCTCTTTGAGTGGGAAAGCCTCAGCTACATCAAGTGTGAGCGATGCTGGACCTGAAAGAGACAACTCTTGCAAACCACGAGTCCGGCTGAGGACGGACATATTTAGATAATGTATATATCTGGTTTTGGTCTGTTGGGGTGCCAGATATGCTGGTCACTGTCGGAGGCATCGCCAGCATCTTCCATGGAGGTGGACGTAGAACTGGGGCGCCACTTTTGGCTTGAGGCTGCGGTGGAATGATTGAGCTCAGGAAAAGAACCGAGAAGAGGAAGAGAGAGAGAGAGAGAGAGAGTTTGAGCGGGATGGTGCATCAGTCCATGAAGATTGTGATTCGCTGGTTCAAACTTTCAAAGCAGGCCGTGTTCTCACCATTTTTGGCTTAGGGCGACCGCCGACCATCACCGACCTTGCCATGATTCCTTTGCGCCAGGAGCGCGCAATTCTAGACCACAGGTTTCAACCAGATGGCCGAGAGGTGCTTGGGCGTCAGAGACATCTGTGAACCAGGAACTGTTGACCAGCTACTTCAACAAAGCTGGAGCTGACCGCCAAGCAAACAAAACGAACACGAAGTGGAAAGTGCTTCAGCCTGCAGCGGACCACGGCCCCTTGCCTTCACATGTGTTACCTCAAGTGTCTTCTCGAGAGGGTCTGGCTGCTGTGCCTCGCTCCACTCACAAAGAAGACACGCAGAATCTTCTAGCAAGAGCCGCAGGCGTATTGGCAGTGTGTATCTCATCAGGCACTATTCTTTTCAACCGTGAAATCTATGGGTCGGAGAGTCTGAGCCAGAGATATGTTACAATGGCAGAAGCGCATGCAGCAGCGCCAAAGGCCACTTGCTGTGTCCACGACGACGGCTGCCACTTGCTGAAGTTCTCTTTCAAGCGCAAAAGGGACCAGCAGTGGGGCCTGTTGTTACCGGGGTCCACTATAAGTTTACGCGACCAGGGTCCCTCCTTCCTGGGCCCTATCTCACACCGAAAAAACAACTGAGATGTTAGCTTTCGCCAATGAAAAGTTCGCACAACCTTTCGCGACTGCATGTTTAGCTTTCGCGAAAACATAATACATTAAAACCTCTTGGGTCCAATGCTGCAAGGCCCGGAGGACTTCAGCCGAGGGGCCCGCAAGGAGGCCATCATCAGCGTAGCAAGGCGCCATGTCCAAGGCAGCCGGTAAATCCAAAACCGGCGTCCGCCAGGAAGTTCACAAGGCTGGTGAGAAGCTGAGCGCCATATTGTTCATCGCCCTCGCCCACTACTTGCTTGAGAAAATCAGGTCGCAACCCGCTAGGGCCAGGAGCAGCGCCTCGAGGAAAGGAGCGGATGGCTCGCACCACGTCTTCACAAGTGAGCTCGTTGGCAGGGGGCGCAAGCTGCCGGCTGGAACCAAGCTGGTGGGGGGGGCGTGCAGGAAACTTGGCTTGCATAGCTGCTATGGTAGCCTCACTGGGAGCTGCCAAGGGTGCTTTCGCAACGCGCTGCACAGCTTTGCCAGGCATGCCCCGTCGAGCCAACAAAACAGCTTGAGTCGAGCACCACGTTGTTGCCCCTCAGGGAAAGTGGAGCCCCAGCTTGTGAAGAGTGCGCCGCTCCCCCCAAACTCCATCACACGAGGCGGTTGGATGAGATGTGGTGGTTCCGTTGCAACAAGAAGGGGACTGATGCATCTACAGCGCAATAGAATAGAATGCCCCAGCGCCAAGAGAGCAACGCCTTGTCACATGATGGGAAACATCAAAAACGCATAGCATATGCAAACAAGAAACATAAGGCGTAACCTATGCCTTAAAAATGCTGCTGCCCAAGCATGGGCGCAAAGTTCCTATCCCAGCGTGCCGAAGGGTGGCAGAGGGTGGGGCACGCAAAACACGAGAGCGCAAAATGATGAGGAAATCAGAAACCCACAGCACAACATACGCACCTGCAAGTAGCATCAGGAAGCAACTAGTCAAAAGACCACCAAAAGAGCAAGCGCCGAGATGCCCTAGTCCCCCTACGCAGGACAGGTGTCCACTCCATAGCTCCAACCACGCCAGGCGACGTCGTTTCCGTGCCACAGTGTCGCTGCCACCCATCGGGTCGGCCCAAGCATCCGCACAGTTGTGCTGCAGGACTTGCGCAACACACCGAAGGAACTCCTTCTGGGCCATCGGCAGCAAGGAAGAGCTGACCAAGTCACGGGTGCCGATGGGGGCAGCGCAAATCTCACTCAAGGAGGGCAAGCTACCAAGGAGCTGATCGGGATCAGCATCCGGTAGTGTTCCAGGCAGATGAATGGGTTGAGGTCGAGCGGCAAGCTGTGTCGCCTCGCCGGTGCGGCGCGCACCACCATTGCATCGGCGGCTCACCAAGCGGCCACGTTCGCGACACCCGACAACATTGCGAGCCCGCAGCCAATCTTGAGGGGGCGCGCCAGGGAGAAGCCCAAGCAAATGAGCATCCACATGTGCTCGCAGCCCAGCAAAGGTCTCCCAACCGTTATGCTCGGAGGAGGAATGAGCCACACAAACTTTTATAGGGCAATGCAATCGAGGCGAGGAGCCAGAGGGGCCAGCCCGTACCTCATCCTCATCGCCCATTAGCACATCAGCCGCAGCTCTAGCAGCCCCACGGGGGTGCCAGGAGCAGGCGGCATCAGGCCATGGCACAGGAGGGGGGCACTCAGAGTATGGACATCCATCAGCAAAGGGTAGACCTCAGTCGGGAAAATTTACAAATTCCATGCTGTTGGCCACACCGACACTTTCTGCAAAACCTAATGTGATCCAAACAAATCCAATACTAAAGTTTTTCTTGGATTTGTTTTATGCCATTTGCTTTTTGTTTTTACACATTTACTTCTTTCAGTTTAACTTACGTTCTTAAGGACAAAGATACATACTGTAAAAGTGAAAAGTAAACAAACCCACTTCTACCTAAGCTTCAAAGCACCAACCCAATACCCCATTCGTGCGCTGAGTGATTTGGAACTGGCGGAATTCACGTTCGCTTGGCTGTCTGCTTACAAGCGCAAGACCAAACACATGTGCAGGCATGGGTTTATGTTCTTCCTGCTGGAAATGATTGAGTCTCACGCCAGCAAATTTTCAAGGACCATGGAAAGAAGGCAGCCAGGATTGCAGCTGGGTGTGTGGGTATTCTGGGATCCTTGGAGGTGGAGAAATAGCCCCACAAGATTATTCATCATCTTTGCTGCCAGTCATCAAAACAATAATGGGACCACGGGATCATCAGACCTTCAGACCATAAGGCCGCCTCCGATCACTGAGCGTCGGATCATCGGACCGTCGGATCATCGGGTAAGGCATCCGCACGATCATAAGTCGCGACGGGGAAACGCGTGCGGCAAGTCACAGGCGAACGTCATCCTGGCCAGGAATTGGGGCCGCTTGACTCTTGACTGAATATCAGGGTTGTACTGTACTGGTTGTACTTGAATCATCTTGATCCGCAAGCACAGGCCTTCCATCTACGGCACGCCTGGGGAACCTATGGCCTACAAGCCAGAAGACGAACCAGGAGGGTACAATGGAGTAGATACCAACAATACTTTTTCGTTCATGGCTGGGAGGTTGGAAGGAGTTGGGCCCAGCTAGCACAATCACGAAAAAAGGTTCAGATGAAGTGCATCCTTCTTAGAGGCCATAGAGCGTGATTCTTCATTGGCTTGGATGCTGGCTATTGAGAAGCCAAGATGGGATGAATACCATCCGGAGAAGGATGTTGCTTTTCAGGAGTTCGGATTTGATGACTTTGTTTGCAAGAGTTTCTACCTTCAGAAATTATATACCTAGGACAGCATGCTGTTTCCACCTGGTAGGCTGCATACTATTGTGAGCTCTGAACCACATGTTGACACACTAACAGCAACGGGACATACGGACATACGTTACAACCAAACGATTGACGCATCTGGCGTGAAGGGCGTGCTTCTTCATTGGTCTGCAAGAATTAGCAAACCTGCACTTGATCGATCTGAGGTTCTCCTCTCGCAACATCACCATTCGGACCATTCCCTGAGAATGGCAAAGGGCCAACACAGCATTGACACAAACACAAACACAACCACACCCACATAGGCGCACAACAACACAATACAAACACACCCTCGCACCCTCACCCACACACATACACACTGCTTTCCTCCTCCCTTCCTCGTATACTTTCTGCTACCCTGTCTTCCTTCTTAATTTTCCTGATCGGACCATGTGTGCCCACGGCAACGCTTCTTCCTCTCCCAAGAGGGGACATCGTGCAGAGGGGACGGCGAGAGGGTCTTTGGACTGGTCTTTGGGTATTCTGCAACCACCATTGAGTTTTTGCTGCATTTGTTTACGTAATCCATTGCATGTCGTGGCCCGGCCTGTAGCACAAGTGCATCCTTCCATGCGGCCTTAGCATCCGTCCTCTGGCCACTGCAGTTTGACAAATTCCAATGCATCGGGAAAAACAACTGGAAAAGAATGAATGAGTAATGAGCCTCTCATGTTGGCAAAGCCATCTTGCTATACAGTAATTTTAGGCTGATTCTTGATTCTTGCCTCCAAAGCACGCTTGGACGTGGGACGGCCAATTCAATTCCAGGCTCGTGTGACTCATGTAGCTGATGATGTGGTCCATGGGCAATAGCAAGTTGATGAGGATGGCAAATCTGCGGCGCCTTGAAGTCAATGCGCCCTAATCATTTCAATACTGCCCATGCGTGGCCGAGGCTTACATGGAAGTTGAGGCATAGCAACTATCAAACGACAAAGTATAACTCCTTCGAAAAAAGAGCCGATGCTGATGCGTCGCTTACAGACTTAGCTGTCGTATTTGCCCACGAAAAGGCCAGCCTTTGTGCTGTGTGTTTTGGAATTCTCATGGAGCCGGAATGCCTCAAAGACATTCAGCAGAGCAACTCATAAGCTTGGCAAGCCGCTAAAAATCATTGAAACCTTACTCCTACAGTCTCCTACGGCGTACTCTCAGCATCTCTGAGCTGAGCGCCGCCGCTTGTTCCAATTCTGCCATGCGTAAATTCCATCCTTTCTGACGGGTTAGGGTCTGCGCAGCGTTGTTGATCAACACCTGGGTGTAAGAGACAACTCGGGCAAGGCGTCTCGTTCTTGCACAACAAATAGACAACATGGAGTAACATGGAGTAACTCTTGGGGGGTGAGTAGATGTCCCATCATTATCACGCAGCAACAGAAAAGAAGTTGAACACTAAATGCTGTTGACAAAAAGGTTTCTGTCTTGAGGCTTGTGGTTGAAGTTCTGAGTTCTGATGCTCTACATTGCAACTGTCATCAACTGTCAAAGCAAGAGATAAAAACCCACGTTTCCTTGTGCTGCAACTTTTGTCCGAGTGCCTGACGGTTATGCATAAAACGTAAAAACGCACACACACACATATATATATATAATATAATATAATATAGTATAATATAATATATATATATATTGCACGACTTTCTTTTTTAAACAACTATTATATGCTGCCTAAGCTTGGAACAATCGCCAACACGCGCCCAATGCAAGCAGGTGACATTGATTCGTGGAAAGCGCCTAACCAATTGATCGCAGAAATGTTCCACCAAACGCACATCGCAAAGTTCCAGTGGACCACAAACCTTGGTGGAAATGGTAGGAATGCCTAGCATTTGTACAGCTGCCTTGCTCTGGCAGAACCTCCAGCCGGTGCCGCCATTCTTCATAATCGCTTTCCTGGGAGAAGCGCCAAGCACCTTATGCACACTCCATCACAGCCACTGGCTCACAGTGTCACACCGCCTGCAAGGCTTGCCACGCGCACACAGCACACACACACATACACGGTCACACGATGATCCACTATGCAGCTTGGAAACAATCACTCGGATACCTGGTAGTCGTGAGGACGAAGGCGCCAGCTCTCAACAACTTCAAGACCTACGAAGACAAGTTCAGCAAAGTCCTCTTGTGTCCTTCACAACTTCAAAATCAACTAATCTCAAGTCCATCTCTCTCTCTATCTCACACCTAAGGCTGCAGCAATCCTATAGCCAATTCGCACTCGGCCACCAGTGACTACCTGCACAACCGAGGAAGCATAAACATCTGATTTGTCAATGCCACCCCAGCAAAACAGGCTAAACTTGGAAGGTGGCACACAGACCATGCCGTTCATGTCGGCTGTCTGATGACGCTTCTCCCAGTTGTGGTCTGCACATCGGGGGCAAAGCTGATGATAGAAGTGGTGGTGGTCCATGTACTGACCTCAAACATGCACATACCAAAAGGGAAATGCCAACGTGGTAGGTGGGCTTCGCACCTCTGCACATGTTGCAATTGGAGTAGAAGCTGTCCAAGGGTGCTCTCAACATTCCTTCAGTCGCGCTTTGTCATGCTGAACCGCAGGAAACTTTCAATGCAAACGGGCATCGGTCTATGTCTGCCAGCGGAGCTTCATTGGCCTCAATTTCTGCACCTGGGAAAGCTGCTTTCATCTGAGCTCTATGAGCAAGAAGCGATGCAGCACCACCTGCCAGGCCTTCCCCGTCAGAAGGGCCTATTATGGCCAGGAACTCCGGTTCAGGGAGCTGACTCTCTGCTTTGATTGCTGCGAGGTCGGCTTTGCGCCGCAGGTTCATTCCGCAAGTTTCAGCCTTGCATCTGCAGTGCGGCAAATTACATGTCATATGTCCAGTTCATTTGATGATATAACGTCATGTAACAGTCTGTTAGAACGGGTATTGATGTGGGACTACCGTTCCATTTCCGCTGTTTTAGAGGATGTCACACACATCCCTGTCTTGGAGGCTTCCACTGCAGGCTGGCTTCATAGTGGGCAATGTGCTGCAAATGTCCTTTCCTTCCCGGTATAGCTGCTTCGCCTAGATTCCTTGCTAATTCAGCCCTTGCAAACTAAGAGGAGGAGGGTTTCTTTGAATGAAGTCTTTGAGTGACTGACAATTGAATTTCCTTTCTCGTACCAATTCGAAATTTCTAATTTTATTTTGTGTTTGAAGATGTAGTGAGACGGTGCCTTGACCGTTTCCCTTGGTTGTTCTGTTGTGCTTCTGATCCTGACATGTTCTCACTCATTTTCGATTTGACGCATTTTTTCAGGGCCAAGCGAGCCCCAGGTTTAGGTCCACGCTCAAGCACCAGACGGTGCGCACATATGTGGGTTTGGGGGAGAAAGTCGCGAGATTGATTGACTGCTTGCTTGTGATGCAAGTTGGGGATGTGGTCTTTCGAGCTGTCTGTATTGGTCGGGCCTAAAGGGATATGTTTAAGCATTTTCGCACCAAGCGTCTTATGCGATCCAGCGAGTTACCTGCGCACTTCTTGGCATTCCCCCTCAATATTTCAAGGGGGTACCAACCGGCACGAGCACTGGTCAGTGGTTCCGGGACAAAAGTGTGCGCCCACACACACAAACACACACATAATTACATAATGTGGTCCTCTGATTAATAAAGGTCCCCATAATAATGACTTGTTTTTTTCCTGCACTGATTAATAAAGGCCACCAGAATAATGTTTTTTTGGAGGGATAGTTTTTTCTTGATTTTTTCATTGTTATATATTGTTATTTTTCATCTCTGGCTTTCCATTGAGATTTGATTTTTTTGAAGGTTTTTGATTGCAGACTTCCTTTCAATTAGTATTGCCAGAGATAGCTAAGAAATGATTCTTTTCATTTTGATCAACTGATTGGTTTTCTAGCACATTATTCTGGAGTCTCAATTGTTGAGGGAGGGGGGGGAGGAGGGGGTTTATTAATCAGGAGTCGACATTATGCAATTATATAGCTGTAGACACGCACATATATGTATATATACATACGGTGGTTGATCAATATTCTTTCATCCTGGAATTGCAAGTCTTCGTGGAAAAAATGATACACCGGGGTCAGAGTAGATGGCTCCGACAGCGCCCTTTGGAGACACGCCCAGGCTAAGGGGAGCAGACCAAATTTTTGTAGAAAATCATGCGCCCTTTTATAGTATTTTTTATGCTCATTCACGCCTTCTTTCAGTGGTTCCTGTGAGAATAGATGAGGCAACTCTCTTGACCCTCTCCTGTCATGTCCTTTCCCCTTCTTTGTCTTATCCTTTTGCTTCCTTTCCTTCACTTCTCCTTTACCTTTCCTTCCCTTTGCTTTTCTTTCGTGTTTTTTCCTTTCCTCACCCTTGCTTTCCTGTCCTTTCCCTCTCCTTCCCTTGCCTTTCGCCTTTCTCTTCCCTTTCCCTGTGCTTCCACTTCAAACTCCCTTGACCAATTTTCAGAATTCCTTTCCTTCGCTTCTCCTTTATCTTCCCCTGGTCCTGTATTTCAGTGGTCCCTGTGCGCAACCTCTCCTCTACTCCCCTTACCCCTAAATGTCTCCTTTGCATGTCCTTTCATGCCCTCCCCTTCCTTTTCCTATCCTTTCCTTCGCTTCTCCTTTACCTTCCCCTGGTCCTGTATTCCTGTGAGAAATAGACGGCCCAACCTATACAAATACTACCAAATACTGCGCAATGTAGCAAAACTGAATGCAGTACAGTACTGTGATATGCTTATTGAAAACATATCTATTTAGAGCAACCCCCATTACACAAACTTGAACTTGAACCTGGTTATGCGCGAGGATGGCCGGGCACGACCAAGGGTTACAGTACAACATTTATGGTTCCAATCAATGTTTCACTGGGTTGATGAGCCATCTATTTCCCATCAGATCAAGTTAAGGAGCACACCACAAAAGCAAATGCGAAAAAATCGTTCACTAATCTCCTTTGATGGTAGTCAGGGCCACAATGTAGGTAGATGGCGCATTGTTACAGCTGTGCCATCAACTGATTTAGAGCCCTCCTCAAAATGACACACCGGTAGATGGCGCAATCCCAAAAAAGAAATGCCATGCATTCTGAAGTCTTTCGCGGCCTCATCCCGGAGCATGGTCCTACAACCATGACTAGCTAACATGAGCCGGAGCTATTGATGTTTGTATCGAAAAATAGGGGCTGACATCTTGCAGCATGACCCCAGCAGAAGGTTGAGAGCTTCCACAGCTACCCATGCGACATCTGTGAGACAAACAGTACCCTAAGTTCTGGTGGAGGCTTAGAATAGGCTATGGGTAGAGCCAGGCGCAACTCAACCCAATCCTCGGGCCAGCTAGCTTGGGGAATGTTGGGGGGCCTCACGCTGGGAACCTGGACAAAGCTTTCGTGGATTTTTCGTGACATTTCACCGGCGATTTCCCCGGCAAGGCGTAACAGTTGCAAACATCTGCGCAGCCCGTCAGAGCAGCTGCATGTCGTTGCCTCACTGTCAGGGCTGTGCCTACTCACGTTGCTAGTCTGTGACAGTGGCGACAGGAATCGGAGAATCCTTTACGCACTGCGAGGCTGGGCAAGTTCGTTAGCCTGAGCTGTGACAATCGGGACATGCGTGGACGCTTCCGCCCACTGGCTCTGCCGGAGGATTGCCTTGTATTCTACCATTTGTCGGTCGGTAGAAAGGAAAACACACGAAAGCGAAAACCTTCGATAAATCTTTTGCGGAAAAAATAGTTATATACTTTCGCGAACCTCATCGCGAATCTTTCGCGGATTGTTTTAACAACATCTGAAAGGCGGTTACATATATATATATATATAACTCTTACACGGGGTTTATATATAGGGTAGCCCAAGTTCCCGTCAATGCTTTGCTAGCGGACACGAGGAAAACCAACGAAAACCAGGCCTTCTGTCGACGAACCTCATGCTCATCCTTCACAACTTTGTGCAAGCGCTGGAGCTTGGTCGTCCTGTCCAAAATTGAGACAGCCACTCAATGTCATTGAACGCTCTTGGCATCCCCTTCTCTTGAAGTGCATGCAAGCGTCATCTGATGAACATCCTCAGATAAAAAGAAGCAACTTGGGCAGGTACTTTGTGGGCTTCTATTCATCTCTCAGAGTGCTTGTGTGTGGTTTTCTTTGCTTCTGCACGTTTTCTGTCTCATGATCTGGGAAAACAACATTTTGATGATCCCTTATGGCCTTGTTGCCAGCATCTCTGTCGCAGTATCGTATAGACCCTCTTCGTAGCTCTGTTAGCTCTGCTTGGCACATGCAAGAAACAGATTTCTTCTTCAGAAAGTGCAGGACATCCTCTGATCCAAATCTCTCTTTGAGAATGGTTCTTCTGAACCTTGGTTCTACAAAGCAAACCGGCTCATCCTTCTCCTCTAGCCCCTTGTCTTTGCTGCTGCGAAAGAAGTTCCGGGTAAGTTGTGAACAAGGGCACGCCAGCCTCGACAAAGCCACTGGAACTGGGAGAATGATTGATGAAACCACTGCATTTAAGGCCTCGCGTATGGAAGCAAACTCTGGGCGCTCCAAGTCCTGGGTTACACAATTGCACGACATTAAAAAGACTGAACAAAACAACTGGGAGCAGCTGCAGCAGCTCTCATTTCCCGTAGGACGGCCGCGCACCTGGCCCGAAACTTTACTCGAGAATGTGCGTCAAGGGCATTCAAACCGAGCCTGGAGATGTCGTCAGCTGATACTCCACTGCATTCGAGGTCTGACCACTCTACGTCCATTGCACTGCACTGTTGCTTTCACCACTGAAGGGTCAAGATTCACCACACTCAAGTCACTTAAGTCATGGTTGTCTGATAGTTGATTTGCCACGAGGGCAGGCGATGCTAAACATAACTCATGTTCGTCAACTGCGCCTGCCCCTGAAAGCTGTCATCAGAAGCCCCAAATGCGAACATGTGCGTGAAGGGTCTTGCTTCTTGGGGCCAGGAGCGTGATCACCCCCAACAGCACCTAGTAGCCACTACAAAAAACAAACTCATGACTCATGATCCATTAATTTTTGACATGTTTGGTGAACTCAAGACATTGGGTGTGTTCAGTGGAGCTGGCTCGAGGAAAAACCAACCAATGTTGGTGGGGTGGGAGTCTGCCAAACAAATTTACACCCACTGTGTACGACGTGTTGACCAAATGCCAATGCAGCCTTAAAATGCCTATAATAATGCCGAAACAGTCCGCCCATCCTGTGCTTGATTTTTACGCCTTTCAGGATCATGGGTTCTGTACGGGAAGATCGTAACTTCTTTTATGGAAAGTCACACTACACAACCGCCGCAAAAGCACACACGCAAAAACACATGCGTCTGAATCTGTCAATTCCCTAATTTTCTGACGTGAGCACGCACGTTTTGCTATCTTCTTTGTTATGCAGTATGCTACAGTATATATATATATACATATATATCCCGCCGGGTGTGGAATCGCACGTGTAGTCGTGCAAATTTTGAATCAAACGTGCAAGCCCTCTCAGTACTTTTGCTTGTTCGATGATGTTTTTTTGGGGTCCCGGATCCTTTCATTTTTAAAGCCGAATCTGCCGAAACCCAAGCGCCAGCGCAAAATCCGTCGCCGTTTTTGTCCCGGGCTGTCCTCCTGTCTCAAGTAGACTTGCGCAGTTTTTTGCACAAGTTAGTACACGTGGTGTTTTCCCAACGCCACTGCCATCTGCGAATCACACGACTAATCGATGACAATGTTATGAAACCGATGACAATGCTATGAAACCGAAGATTACTTGTGAAATCGATGACAATGTTCTCAGCATGACGTCCACATCCTCATTCCATCACAACGCCCCCCCCACCCCATTTTAATCACACGACTAATCGATGACAATGTTATGAAACCGATGACAATGCTATGAAACCGAAGATAATGTTATGAAACCGATGACAATGATATGAAGCCGAAGATTACTTGTCGTGAAATCGATGACAATGTTCTCAGCATGACATCCACATCCTCATTCCATCACCCCCCTCACCCCCCCCACCCCATTTTAATCACACGACTAATCGATGACAATGTTATGAAACCGAAGATTACTTGTCGTGAAAACGATGACAATGTTCTCATCCCACCCCAACCCAACCCCCCCACCTTTCACGTAGCATCAACTTCAGATAGCAAGTGCAAACGAACGTCAATATGCCCCATCCCACCCCACCCCAACCCCCCCACCTTTCACGTAGCATCAACTTCAAAAATCGCAGTAGTCACACGTTCGGTTTTACACCCGTAGGCATATATATGCCATGTGTGAATGCACTTCTTTTTTTGGGGGGTTGGCCTTGGGACAAACCTGCAGAATGTCCATTGGCTTGCCTAGTATGTTTTGGACATGTTGATTACTTTTTCTGGGCGCCGGGCATGGTCCTAAGGCGCCAAAAACCTTTTCTAATTCTATCCGTTCTAGCATGGGAATTGCAGCCCGCCAGCTTGCATTGAAGTCCTCCTATGTCAGGTCCTGCCCGGCGGTTGCCTCCCTAGCTTCTGAATGGATGCTCAAACTTGGCGCATCTGCAACCACAGTTTGCATATCTATTATTTATTTTCGCTTGCCTTAATTACTCAACCGGCTTCATCTGAGCAAACCATAGTAAACCTCTATTTACTCACATCGAGTCTAAAACGAATATAGTGAAGCTTTGACATCGGCTTGGCAGCCTTGACATTTTCTAGTGACATATTGCGAACACTGGAGTTTGGCCTGTTCCTTGTGTCCCTTCCAAACTAACGCCACATTTGCCAAGTGGACATCAGCGACTTTGCGGACAATCACGCAGCTTGGGACAAAGATAAATGATTTTCTAACTGTGAAGCTGCTGCAAGCGACGTGCCACGGGGTTCAAACTCAAATGATTGAATATCGAGGGTGAAACCCGTGTCTGCTTTCTTTGGCTAGCATGGAACGTGTTGGTGTTTAGCATCAAGTTGGCCATCCTTTCTCTGCTCACCTTTGCGGTTGGTGATTTTGCCGCGTTCATTATTCTCCCATTTTGTTGAGATGTGCTTATATAAAAGCGCAATTAATTTGACATCTTTAGTCTTTAGTTCCTTGAGGCAGGGAAAATGGATGTATATATTTCAAGTCTATTTCGGGGTAAGGTCGGGTGAGGTAGGACAAAATTGCATCACATTGCAGCATCTGTATTTTGGCATCTGAAACATCGCACTTAACTTTAGCAAAGGTATGGAAAGGTCACTGCCTTACCTAGGATGTCTACCAAACGAGTGTCCTTGGCGCAAGCATGCACAACATCCTCGGAGCGTGGGAGTTCCTGCCTCTAAAGTTTCAAGCATGCATGATGCATGGTTGTCAGCACCTGCACTTGTCTCAGTCGTTGTTATTCTTCCATGTGTCCCTATGCCATGCCGTCTTGGCCTTCTTGCTTGCGTGCATCGTTTCATTTACCTTTTGAATCGACAGCATTCTGCTGACGAGGACCTTTTCCTTGAAGCAACAAACTGGCAAACTCTTGGATGACTCCCAGGTGCCGAGAGGGGCGGGACATCATTCTGCAAAGAAATGAATTATGAAAAGTGCAGCCAAGACCGCTGAACACTCAATGCCTTTTTGCACCAGTCAGGTTAGTGATTCGTGGACGCCCTGAACAAGCTCATCAAGGATTGGATAGGTCCTCACACGGCCAAAGCTGTTTTCGAACAAATCGGAATCCGAACACTGGCTTCTGCGAGCCTGTGGGAGACCAATTGGGTCAGGAAACAGGCCGCCAACTCTTCCCGCGGATTGACAAAAAAGTAAGTTGACGCCTCTGCATGCACAAGCTATTGGGTTACGAAGTTCCGCGTAAAACTAGCAGCTAAGTCTTAAGCGAAACCCATCCAATGCCAGGCACCCTTTGCTCTTGTTGGCAGGCCTGCCTTTGAAGTTTGGCATGTCCCAATGCATGATTGCGCCATGCATTTTTGTCTTGCAATCCGAAATCAGGTGGCAAGCGCCTTATCAGGTTCCACGATAACGCACCTACAGCAGTGCACACAATGCAGCTGGCCACTACACTGGGAACCATGGCTGGATGTTGAAAATAGCAACAATGACAAGAAAGCAACAATTACAAGAACACACACATAATTAACTGAGAAAAATAGAACCTTTTTGCTATCATAGGCTCATTTTGTCATGGGACAATCTTGAGAAATACGATGCTGGGAGAAGGCTGTGAAGCTGTTCCAGCTGTTCAAACTGCTCATTAAATCACAACTTCTGGTGTGTCTGACGTTACATCTCCCATTCTTGGCCTTGCGACTATATACAGTAATTCATTTCTGTCCAAGGTTGTGTATCGCCGCTACGGTAGGCACACCCTCTTTTTCACACTGTCAACTTGCCAAAGTGTTGTCATCAACCTGCAATCCTCTGCAGGATATTGCTTTGGGTTACCTGCGCTGGCAGGTCTGCCACAGTCAGACCTACAGTGGTTCACCTCCGGTCACTCCGGAAACCACTCCCCCCTCCTGGGGTGAGTTAAAAGTGGTCTAAAGGCGGTCACTCCGCCTAACTCTGTGACAGATCGCAGTTCCCTGCGCATGCCCCAGGCTAGCTCGCTAGCCCTTCAAGGGTAAGGGAGATCCCAAAGGGGGCCCTTGCACCAAAATAAACCGGGTGGGAAAAGAGAGAACAAACGCTATTTTGGCCAAGCACTTGGGCCAAAATATTCGTTAGTTCCAACCTATGGCAGAAATGAATCCGTGTTTTCACCCAAGCCTGCCAGACCTGAAACACGCTTACATTTCTGTCCAAGGTTGTGCATCGTCGCTACGGTAGGCACACCCTCTTTTTCACACTGTCAACTTGCCAACGTGTTGTCATCAACCTGCAATCCTCTGCAGGATATTGCGTTGGGTTACCTGCGCTGGCAGGTCTGCCACAGTCAGACCTACAGTGGTTCACCTCGGGTCACTCCGGAGTTTAAAATATTCCAAACGCACTTAGAGAAATTCCATGACACGAATCACTGCTGGAAGCGGCAGGTGCCAAAGACAGAACGGGCAAGTGACGGAAAAAGGGGTGAATCCGTTGGTTCGCCACCACGGATCAGACCAACCTAACCTTGAAATTGCGTCAGCCCAGTTACTTGGATGTGCGGGTGTGGTTATAAATGTTCATGCAGCTTGCAGCGCTTATAGCGCAACTTAGTATCTGGTTTGCAGTAGTTAGGTAACTACTACATCTATGAGAAAGTTAAGTCACTGCTGGATTTACACTAAGACTTGTTAACCACGTTGGCCTACATATGATAGCTATAGTAAGCCAAGCGGTTCGATTTAATATGTGCGACGTTGAACTCATTAAGTGCCACTAGAAAGATATAGTAAGTCCAAAGACAAGCAGTTATTAAACTCTTCGTGTGTATTTGCTAAGTCCAACATGTGGTTCCTTTTTCTATGAAGAACATTCACGAAAAAACAAAAGTGAAATGAAACTGAAGGCTGATGTAGCCAGCAAAAACTAACATGTTGTAAACGAAAAATGTTGTAAGAGGCAGACATGTCAACAGGCAGAAAGCCAGACAGACCGGAACATACAAACCCACAACCAAATCCACCGAAACAAGCCGGTGCAAACAATTGAAGAGAACAAAACACGGGCTTAAAATATGGACGGACTGACGACGAGAGAAGCAACAACATGAACCAAACAAGCGCGTAAACAAGGAGACAGAAACCAGAAAACACTTGAAAAGTGAACATCCTGGATTTTAGTTCCCCCGGCGCCCCTTGAAGGCCAGGTCCCTCAGAGGCTTTTGCGCCGGGGGAAAGAACAAGGTCTGTGTAAAGCTGAAAGGGAAGGATTGCGATGTCTTGTTTCAAAAACCTTTTCTTCTCAGTTCCTCGAGCCCCTGAGCACAGGCGAATCGCGAAAGGATCCAGTTGCATAAGCGCAAACTAAACTGCACGGGGCAGGGAGAGATTGCAAGCAGAAACAAAGTCAAAGAAAACCCTGCGAAGCGACGCAGGAGTGTCAAAAAAAATCCCGCGAAACGACGCAGGAGTGTCAAACTTGAGGGTGTCGAAGGAAACCCTGCGTAACAACGCAGGACTGTCAAAGAAAACCCTGCGAAACAACGCAAGGTAGCGCCGCACCTTTTTCACACAGCTGAGGCAATCACCCACACATGCACTCCATCGCCCAGCTTCTTGAAAGCGAGGGCACGGCAAATTGATGATTTAGCAATCCAATATAACTGGGTGCCAATCTTCAAAATGTTTGTCTCCGCTGGCTTCCATGAGCACACGAGCGCACGCGTGCCCTCCAAGCGGACACACTCACCAAAGCCATCCTTGAACTCAACCAGGTCACCTGTTTGGAAGACGGGTGTGTGCCCAAACTCCTCCTCATCATCATCGTCATTTCGCCCAAGCTTCTGTAGTTGCTGCAGGGTGCTTTCCATCAGATTTTTTTTGCTCCACCAGGCCTTTATCAGCATTGTCATATAGTTTCTAAGAGTTCACCATTTTTACGGTCAAAACAAGAATCCAAAACAATTTATCAAAAACATGGACAGCTGAACGTTAGTGCCAGGTCACGCCAACGTTTTCAAGGCTGTTTGCAAATTTCTTGATCAATTTGTGTCGGCGTTCATGCACGAAGCAATTGAGCAATATCTGATGCTTTTGGAGGCCCTCCCATAGGTGTTGTTGCAGATGGTGTTTTGGAAGTGTGCTCGACGCACCATATGCAGCAACAAAGAAACCCAGGTGGCGCGACGCCAACCTTTTCAGCTCCTTTGGGCACAGCATGAAGCCTTAAGATGCCTCATATACCACTCCAGCAAACTGAGCACAGTATACACATGTAGGAAGCTGGCCAAAAAATGTGAGTCTATGATGAACCCTGCGCGTCATCATGCTTCACAAAAGTGTAATCATGATTAGCTTCGCAATGTGTTATGTTTTGTGCTTTTCCCCACATCTTAGTGTGGGGTTCTTCTTTTCTATGTCTCATCCCGCTTCTTCCGCTTCTTCCGCTTCACTTCTTCCGCGCCTCCGCCCCTCCTTCCACACTCATCTCACACACCACTCATCTCACACACCACTCATCTCACACACCACTCATCACACACACACCACTCATCACACACCACTCATCACACACCACTCATCACACACACCACTCATCACACACACCACTCATCACACACCACTCATCACACACCACTCATCTCACACACCACTCATCACACACGCCACTCATCACACACCACTCATCACACACCACTCATCTCACACACCACTCATCTCACACACCACTCATCACACACCACTCTTCTCACACCACTCATCTCACACCACTCATCACACACCACTCATCTCACACCACTCATCACACACCACTCATCACACACCACTCACCACAGACTCAGACCGAGACAACACATACCGAGACAACACCCACAGACACCACACACACAGAGATCACAACACAGAGATCACACACACACAGAGATCACACACATCGAGACAACACACAAGTAGATCTGGCTCCGTTAGAGGGTCTGGTGGTTGCTTGGTCGGCTCTGGTCGGCTCTGGTCGGGTGTGGGCGCCGGCGACGCTGTTCCATTGTAAATCGCAGTAGATCTGACTCCGTTAGAGGGTCTGGTGGTTGC